TCAAAACCATCAGTTTCTATTGATACATTAATTCAGATGATAAAAGTATTACTTGAATTTGTGACAATAAAAATTGATTCTTTATTGTCATCATACGACAAAGTAAATTGTCTGCAAAAAAAAAATGTAGCGAGTTTCTTAAGAATATCAAATACAAATAATATTACTAAAGTCCATCTAGTAAAAATGATTAATATTGTTAGAGAGATGAATAATTCTTATCAAACTTTCTTCTCAAATGAATTATTTACAAATCCATCTCATCAGTAATATTGATGTGAAAGTATTTATAAAAGAGATTTTAATAAAAATTATGAATCATGCCAATCATCAACTTTGTTCTTTACATTTTTGTGTTTCAATACCTAATGATCAAATGGTGGAAGAATTAAATCAAATGATTGACTATGAACAACTACCACTTGATTCTAAAATTCAACATATATATATGTATTTGATAAGATTCATCTACAATGGAAATGACTATACTAAACATTATTGTTTATTTTATATTTCATAAAACGTTTTTTTAATATTTAAATACATTTTCTTACTCTATCATGGTTCTTTTTTGACAAAAATCTATTGGATAAAACATCTTAAATAAAAATTGATAAAATATTCATTCAAATGTATTGTCAGGCTGTACAGTTCATTTTAAATTTATGAAATAATTACTCAATGACCTTTGGCTCTTTCTTTTCTGTCTGAGATTGACCTTATTAGCGTGTTTTTTTTCTTTCATTCGGGTATATAAGTCTATTGAAAATGTTGAAATAATCAAATATATATATATATCTCAAGCATAAAAGTACAATAGATATGGATGTACTTAAACGAAAACTAGTTTTCAATGAAATATTAAATGAATCAAGAAAGATATTTCAGAGTAAGTTACTTATTTAATGAAAATAAGATTATTGATATTTTTATTTAAACAGATCAATCAATAACTTCTATTGAAAATTTATCAAATGAAATCTTTTATGAAATATTTGATTATTTTGATGGTGGTGAAATGGTTAAAATATTTTCTAAACTTAATTCTCGTTTTGAACAACTTCTTCAGTCTTCATTTGTTTTAATTAAAACACATTTCTTTTTGTTTTATCATGAAGCAATAATGAATAAAGATCATGAATTAGAAATATTTTCAAATAAATTATGCTCTAATTTAAAAATTTTATCTATTTATTGTTCACAAAATATCATTTTTCTTGAAGCTCATCGATGGGAACAATTGATTTTACATTATTATCCTCAATTAGAAAAATTTTATTTAACCTACCATGATGGTATTAATAATAATAATCAATATCCAATATATACTGGACCAGTAAATCAATTTTCTTCATCATTTTGGATTCAACGAAAATGGATGTTTCATGTTAAAATTGATAATACATATATCAAATATTCGATTTATCCATACAAGTATATCGATGAATATTTTTTATTAAAAAAATTTATTCTTCTGATTTTTTTAGAAAAACATGGTATAATTATATAGATGATAACAAAATTGAATATTCAACATCAACAAGTTTAATATTCACTAATTTTCTTACCTGGTCATATGATGAAATGATATTTGAACAAATAAAACGTGTATTAACTATAACACAAATTTATCATTTAATTATTATTGAAAAGCATTCATCGGTTCATGTATTAATTCAATTAATTAGTTTATTACCTGATTTAATTACGTTCAAAATTCGTTCATTATCATCAGATGACAGAACACGATTTACTGTCAGAGAACTTTGTAGACTTGGTTCAATAAAATGTCAAAGTAAAACTACTAAAGTTTGTATTGAAGAAATCAATGATATTGACGATTTTAATTTTATTTCGGTCGTTTGTCCTTATATGAAATATTGTGAAATGAAACGTTTAAATAATATGAATATTGAATTGTTTTTACGTATAATTCTGAAGGAGATTAATAATCGTAGTTTTTGTTTTATTCGTTTATTATGTTTTCATGAACCAACAGTCGATGATCAAATGATTGAAAATTTAGAAAAAATGATTAATTATGAACAATTACTTCTTCAATTTACAATTAAACGTATATCTGATAATATTTATTTACAATGGAAATAACTATTAGAAATTTTGTATTTTGTTGGAAAAAAAAACTAATAAATAAATAGATAATTAAATTTTAATTGAAATATTGGAAAGGTTTAGAGTGAAGAGAAGTGCTCATATTTCTGCTATCATTCTGATTTTTATCTATTAGTCTTTATCGAATAATTAGCTATATGTCTAAATTTGGTTTAGATCCCTTAATTTAATACGAAGTCTAACTCAGTTTTTACTGCTAAACATTAATTTGTTATCAATTTTGATAAACGAATGAATTCAAATCAAATAATATAGTCATTTTGGAAATATGTCGCTTTTCGCATACCATGCCCCTATTACATTCGGAAATATGTTTCGATTTGTTCTGATAACTTAAAATTCAATTTTTTTTTACACCATTCGATAAAGAATTGATCAGTGTATATAATGAACAAAAGAATTCATAGAGTCTTTTAAAAAGTATATCAAAATATCCGAAATACTTTGAAAATTGCTATATGCTGGATCCCTCATTTTCGAGTATTATATGTCTAGTGCACCTGATACAATTTCAAAAGAGGCTCAAGTTATCATTATTTGTAGAGTTTTGTCTCCTCTATCGAATAGTATGTGAATCAACTTTGCCGAACTTATGATAAAAAAAATCGACTAAACACCAAGCTGCCTAGTCGTCCTATATTTTCTACTAGCGGAAGTACCTGCCGTTATCCATAAACATCATTTTGTTCACTTGCAGAAACAACTGCTTCAGTTGATGCATAATACAAAAGTACTCGAGAATTATCATCATTTATATTACTAAATAATTTAAAATAAATAAGCTCATTAACCTCTTCGAGACGGGTCACGCATATATGCGAGATGACTGTGCATCAACTCATAATTCACTTGTTCGGATCTCTTGTGATATTTGTATTTGTCTGATCTTTTAGAGAACCATGATCATGTACCAGCACTACTCTCGCATTCTGTTATGTATTTTCTTTACTTGTGACATAACTATGTCATACGAAAGATTCGAAAAATTTCATTTATCTCAAAAAGTAACCCCATCCCGCGAAAGGGTTAAAGAAAAAAACCGAAAATCAACTTACTCTTGAACTAGTATTGTTTCATCAAGTGAACACATTGTTGGTAATATTCCATTACCATCCTCAATTGTTTGTAGACTTGTATAAATCATCACTGGGTTATTAAATGGAAATGGCACTAATTTTTTTCTTTTTGCTAAACGGATCCAGAGATTTTCGAAAGTGTTTCAACAATCTTTGAAAAACAAAAAGCAAAATTATTTATTTAAATTAATTTTTTTTGTTACTTTATCTAAATCATATTTATCACATAACATACATATGGATCAAATAAATCTCATTCACGAAAATTTAATTCCCATCTACATGTATTCAAAAATAGACAAATATTTTGTAAACAAAGAAACTAAATAAATAAATATTAGTCTTCGTTTTTTTCATTTACGTAAATTTTATTTTCATACTCGATTATTTTTGAGGTCGAAATGAAACATTTGGATAATTAATTATTCATGGTGGTACTAAATAATTGAGCAAATTATATAAAATAATATCTAAATAAATAATTATTTGATTTTTAATTTCGAAATTCATGTCAAACCATCAGATAAAACATCTGCTAAATCAATCTTCAATTGTACATTTTTTTGGTAAATTTAATATTCGATTTACTTTGGATAATAAACACATGACATTGATTAAGCTATTGAAATACCTGCCGGCAAATAGGTTGAAAGTTTTTATTTGGATCGTATGATGGTGGTAATGCTGATGGATTATTCATTATTTTGTTGATTGATCGTTGATTACTACATGTATCTTAGAAGAAAAAAAAATGAAAAAAGTCAATAAGTAAGCAAAGATTCTATCGCTTTTTTTTTATTACTCATTTGTGTTAGCTCTCGTTTTGGGGATTATGTAGCAATGGTAGAACTAATATTTAGTCTGTCAAAATTAGAGAGCTAAACATGTTTTAATAATCGACTTTGTCGTCGTGTCATATATAGAATATATTGAGTATCGAGTGATCGATACCATAGAACATCAACAACTGCGCAAAAACGAAAGACAAAAAGATAATCACGAGATGAATCATAGTTGAGAGATTACGTAACAAATCAAATCAGAGATTCAAAAAATAGATAACATAAAATAAACGTTTAGCGTCAGTAAGCACCATC